CTATTTATCAGGCTCAGTCACTGGACAAGTTGCTCTGGTCAGGGATCATATATAAACCCATTTATGTAAAGGCCATTATTTATTCTGTACAAACTACTAAAAGCAGGTGTGATTTCAATGTGTTTGCTCTGAATGTGAATTAGTTTAACAGAGTAAAGTTTCATCCACAACATAAGGCTACTGCTTTAAGACTATCAATAAGGAGAAAACAAGAACAAGTTTTAATGACATATTTATATAAAAAAATTAGCATCCTTTCACTATGATACGTGTACAACAAAGTACAGTACAGTTTTGAGATACATCCCACATATTCTTTGAAGGGGGGTTACAAATTCACAAAGAAATAATATTGCTATGCAAGTGCTTATTAAAAGTAATAAAAAGAACAGAATAAACCATTTATGCTCTAGAAGTCTGAGATTCGTTGTTTACCACTGGAAATTGCTTCACACAGTGTTAGAATTTAAAGCTTTGACCCCGCAAAAGAATTACCGGGCACAGTCACAGTTCACGCACGGAGCTGCTGCAGACAGCCACAGGTCAATGTGCAGGAAAAGTCCTTCAAGAACTGGGGACTGAGAAAGTTTCTGGCCTAACCATTAAAAAAGTAACACGGGGATGGGAGAATGGAGGTTTCTTGGTCCACCAGTTCTCTCAAGGACCCTTCCTAAGCTTTTCTTTGCTCTGATAAGAAGCTAAACTCTAACAGAAACATTGTTATTTGTCACTGTTAGATCAACAGTATGAAGACACGATGGCTCCAAAATATGTCTTTGGCTCTTCTGGGAAGGACATAAAGGTATAATTTCCATGTTTGTCCCGCTGGCAACTCCTGATACTATGATGGTTATTACTTACACAAACAGAAATCTGCAGCCAATCAAAATAATATGGTTGGCAAGAAATCTGGGCAAACTTTAATAGCTACGGTTCTTCAACATAAAAAGGATAAAAGTAGAATAATAATTTTTGGCAGGGGAAGCGGAGAATTTTAAAAATTCTGATTGTTTTCCTATGAGGATAGTGTTATAAATACTGAAGTCTAACTTAAAACATGTTGTTCTGTTTCATGAATTCACATTGAGTAAGATTCTGCTGGACCCACCAAGTTACACTCAACTCCTTTCCACTCTTCTCGAACTGAAGTTATCTGGAATACACAACAAGGTAAGAGAGTGGGATTTGGCACAGAAACTGCATGGTCGAAATAATTTAAATGCCTTTCTGAAAGGAGTTATCTGTGCATGCAAGTGTGTTACAGTGGAATACACAGAGCGCTCTTTTCAAGAAAGCATAATTAACTTCAGCCTTCTGGGAAATGGAGAGCCAAGAAAGGCATTTACCAAGTGGAAGATGGACATGAATTTAAATATAAAAACCATTTTCACTGAAGTTTCCGCTTTCATTTTCAACAAGCTCCAGTGCTATGTTTAGGACAGTATCAGCCTGACAGTTTTTCGCTGGAATCTGATGAAGCAAATAAGCAGAGTTATATTATTTTAGCAGTAAACAAACTCACTTGCCACAAAATGAATCTATGGAAAAGTTAATTTAGTAGCTTTTCCATTAAAAAGTACATGCTGCCTAATAAAGACTATTTTGTAGGCACAGAATTAGGTAAATTTGTTAATCTGCAGTAAGGAGCACCATCAAAACATATTAAAGACATCACAAGCAAGTAAACTTCCTTAATTAATAGCTAATGATGTAAAGTTTTGGCTCTTCTTCTAGAAAATTACATCCTGTAAACATTTTCCCTGCCTTGTGAAAAAAGTAAAAACCTTCACAAATAGAGAACCAAGAAAAGACATTCAAAACTACCCCATCAAAAGCAATCCTTTAATATTTTTGAAATATTTAATCTGGAGTTTTTTACCTTTATATGATGGTACTTTGTTTTGAAACAAAGTCATATTAAGTCCCAAATCAGAATGATCTGTTTAATGGCACTGAAGTGAACTTCTTTCCCCAAGGCAATAACATAAAGAAGCTAAGAAGGATTTTGAAGGAGGAATGAATAAATAAGACTACTGCATGTGAATGGTTTTGTAAGAATTGGCATTTTCTGATTTAAAAAAAAGTTTGCTGAAGTATTTCCCAGGCAGATCTACCTGGGCCTCTAATTCATTGGCACAGGCTCAGTATCAGTCACTTAAAACGTGTTTCATCATGTACCTAAAATTGTGACATTCTTTAAAAATACTTAATACAAAAATCTTTTATTTCCTTTATACTACATATTTACAATTCTATTATCAAGGTACTGTGGAAAATGTAAACAAGTATACACAGGTGTAAATAATATGGCTTAAGAAAGGTTTCCCTTTGATTAGCTGCTCTAATCACATATCAGTATACACAGGTAAGAAAAAACCCCAGTACATTTTATAAACTGCCATCAAACAGCAAAATGTAAGTTCTTGGGTTTTATTCATTAGCTGCTGAGTAACCATACCAGTTGTCGGGCATCTTTCCTAAACTGAAATGTCCGACTTACTGGAATGGGGCCAGTGGAGGGGCACCGAGATAATCGGGGCTGATACAGTTGGGTCTGAGGGAGCAGGGTCTGCTCAGTCTTCAGCAGAGAAGACAAAAGGGAGGTATTATTGCTGTCTTCAACTACCCCATGCAGACTGTAGCCAAGATGAAGCCAAACACTTCTCAGAGATGCACACTGAAAGGATGAGAAGCAGCGGACCAAAGTTGAAACTTAGGAAATTCTGATTAGAAACTAGGGGGGAAAAAAAAAATCATGAGCATGAGATTTTCACTAGGACAGGGGCTCAAAGAGGTTGTGGGATCTCCATCCTTGGAGATATTCAGAGCTCAACTGGATGAATCTCCGAGCAACCCCATTTAACTTTGAAGTTGACCAGGCTTTGAAGAGAAGCCTGAACCTCCGGAGGTCTCTTACAACTTAACTTACTCTACGACTCTACGAAAAATCTTGAATATAATGCAATGCTTGCATTACTATTGTAGTTCAACTCTGCAGTAAATACACAGTTAAGATCAAAATATGTCAATTGCTTAACTTGGGTCGTTCTTCTCCAGCAGTTGCTAAGATTATATCTAATTGTCTCACACGAGATTTACCTTATCAGTTCCAGTTCAGTGAAATTGCCCCAAATTCACATAACTGCAGGATCAGACCCAGGCCAGCACATCTCCAAAAGAACATTTAAAATGTCACAGCTGACAGTAAAGCCCTGCTGAGACCCACACACTTCTGACTAGTTTTGGGACAACAACAATTTTGTCACATTTACATCAAATAAACTTTCCAGAGACATTCATAGAGCTCTAAAGAAGAAATGACAAGGGATCAGCATCAGCCCCTCTGATTTTCTGGCTTAAAGCACAGTTAGTTAATTAATTTTGACACATTCACAAATAACTTTACTGTGTTTAGGATGACTTTCAATACCTATGAAGTGATGAATAACAACAAGACAACTTCCATGAAGCTTGAAAAATATCTACCAAACCTGTATTGCTTCCAATAGATCACAGTTTGAATTAAAGTCCCAGGTGAGCAAGTGTCATTTGGACAGTTAATGACTGCAGATGTGTTTAAGACCTGAGGTAAGCCATGGGGTAAAACTGTTACTTCACCTACCCATTATCCAACCGCAACAACAAACATCTTTAAAAATCACAAGTTAGCATCAATTATTGTCACTTGTCTCTTCTAAGACAAAAACCTTCTCTTGCAGAGTTGCAATTTGTAATGGTGTGTGAATGGTAGTGTGAACACAAGACCTGGAACTGCCTGTACTACCACGTCTACTGAGCCCACGGTCCTGACGCCCTTTAGTAAGTGCACTTTTGATATAGTCAGACTCAAGAGGTTACTACATAGATTTTGTAACTCCTAACCTAAAGAGAGGTATAAAGAGGCACTCAGAAATCTTTTAGTCTGGTTAACTCAGAATATTAAAATAGAGAACATTATTTCTTTATAATGACACAGTCCTATATTAAAGAACAACCTGTCTAAACAGACAAAATAGCACTAAAATGTCTCTGTTCTATTAAGTGACCAACAGCAGCTGTTGAATGGTATCAGGACTTTTTAAAGCTGACTTAATCAATCTATTGTGCAGTAAAAGCACATTATAATCCTTTATATAAAGAACACAGATTATCTTTAAACATCTATCCTTGCTTACTACCTGCTTCCTCCCTCCAAGATAAAACTCTTTTCTGTGTCAGAAGGTACTGTTTGATGAGAACTGCTGCACAGTTTGACTTGACAAACCACTGAGAAACTCAACTGACAAGATGGGAGAATGCAGAAAGCCAGAAAAGCCTGACAGACGACACCATGCTCTTTGGATGACGGATTCAGACATAAGCGAGATATAGATGGAGACCTTGCAATCAGTCAACTCACACTACAAATGTGGTACATATTCTTAAATTAATTAACAACTTATTGAGGACTGTGGTGGATTCTTCTTCAGTTGCAAGTTTAAAATTAGACTGAACGCTTTTCTAGAACACACAATATTATTCAAAGACGAATTAATTTGGTGAATCCCACTAGTTTCTGTGCAATGTGATTTTGCAGTGAATCCATATTGGCTTCATAATCCATGAAACGCTCATTAAACTTCACTCTGGTTGTCAAGTGGGTTTAGAAAGTGACTTACATGTGGTGTGGCTCGTTGCACGTTGATACGTTACATACTGCTTATCCTGATACTCTTTGGAGCTGGTCTTATTAAAAACATGTCCAAGCTTTCAAACAATGAATTATATTATGTATCAGAAAGAATGTCCAGAGCAGATTAATGGAGGGGTAAGAGGCTAGGAATAAATACATGAAACAGATTCAACTTTTTAAAAGGATCCAGCTACTAAATGGCCTCTGTAGTCTTCCATAAGAAGTGTGAATACTTCAGTACAATTCAAGCTGAATTGAATAGCTGTTTTCATATCCAAATTCAAATACCGTCTGTGCATATAAAACAGTTCATTTATTAGTCCAAATGTTACTGTTGTAGAGCTTTTGGAAAAATATTCCCTCTTTCTTGAGTTTGTTCTTCATAAAAAGGAAGCTTTGGAGGGCCGCCTAGAGAATTAAGTAGAAACATGGTTTCAGGTCTATATAACATAATACTGAAATATTATATAGATTATACAATTTACACTTAAATAATTCAATAAATGGTACTCTTCAAAAGAAGGTAGAGGACCAAGTTACACTGGCCTCCTCACAGAGGCAGAGAGCAGGTAAAACAATAAAACATCTCTCAAAAGGAAGGTTCCCAAAGTGTTTCCTAGACTAAATGCAGAATTGTATGGTATCACCATCAAGCCAGTTGTGATTAGACTACAAGTGGGAGGAAACTTTCACTCAGTACTATATCTCATTAAGAAGAGAAATTATCTAAATTAAAAAAAACCCAAAAACCCCAAACCCTTTTGTGATAGTGCGATGAGTGCTTTAGCACACTCACAAATCAATCCAAATCCATTTTCCAATGTTTTGTCTACTTATCTGGCTTATCACATCTCACCATGCTCTTCAAAACCTGACACCTCTGCAGAAAGCAAGCGAATGTAATGGCATGCACAGCAAGTAAACCTCCTTATTCATCTTACAGAGGCTGTGAATATCAACTATTTCAGGGCAAGATTTCATACTGGCAGGCATAGAAGAGTGTACCGCTCTCCGGCACAGCTGTGCTGGAGGCAGCCTCGGGAATCTTGAACAGGGCTGTGCAAGATCTCC